TCAACAAATCCAGAGGATGATTCTCACTTATCAAATGGGTAAATGCTCAATTGTTTTGTTCTGCTTTTGCTAAGATGAAATTTACTCAACAAAAAAAGTTAAGGGTTATGAAAATCTTCATTTATAATTTCTATATCGGAAAAGTATATTTAATCAAAATAAATCACAAAGTTTGTTCTGTTAAGTAACTACACATTTGATGAAAAACCAATGGTAAATGTTCACTTGGACAGAAGAACAAGACTAACAAAGACACCTTCTTAATCAGAGTGAAAATCAATATCCAATAATTGCAAAATTTATTTAATTCAAAAATGGCAATTGATCCAACAAATGTCAATATTTTGTGTGGCCTCCCCTTGCCTGAATAACAGCCCTGCATCGCCTCGGGAAACTTCGAATTAGTGAACGGATGGTCCTTTGGGGAATGCAATCCCATTCCTCTAACAGAGCAACTTCAAGGTCATTGGTATTGGATGGAACAGGATCCCGTTGCTGAATCTGCCTTTGTAGAACATCCCAGACATGTTCAATAGGATTGAGGTCTGGTCTTCGAAGGCCATTCCATTCTCTTGATAGTCTCTGCCTCAAGATACGACGTTTGCTCTGTGTGGCCTGGCGTTATCATCCATTAAAATGAATTCTGTTCCTATGGCCCCTGCAAATGGTCTCACAATTGGGTGAAGGATCTCATCTCTATATCTGATACCAGTCAGTGCTCCTTTTCTGATGATGTACAACTCCGTGGACCCCTGAATAGAAATGCCTCCCCAAACCATAACAGAACCTCCACCGAAGCAATCATGTTGAGCCACACAGCAGTCACTGAAACGCTCGTTTTTCTGTCTCCACACTCATCGCCTTCCATCATTAAAATCCACTCAGAATTTGGATTCGTCTGTAAAGAGTACGGATCTCAAGTGACGGATTTGCCAATTTGCATGATCTCTTGCAAACTCCAGTCTCCTTACTCTGTGGTCTGCAGTCAAAATTTGGCATGTGGCAGGCTGTCTTGCTTTCAAGTTAGCTTTATGAAGCCTATTCCTGCAAGTTTGATTAGAAATGTTTACGCCATGTGTGTTGCGAAAGTCCCTGTTTAAGGCAACAGCCGAGTTGAATCGGTTTCGCTTTGCTTGCAATACAAGTTGGCGGTCTTGCAGGGCTGTCAAATATCGTTGTCTTCCACTCCTAGGCCTTTCCTGGACTGATCCTGTTTCCTGAAATCTTTGCCACAACCGACCAATGACGCTTTGTGACCTGTTCATCAATCTACCCACTGCATCTTGTGACATTCCAGTTTGTAGCATCCCTATGGCCCTACCAGCTTCCCGTACATTAAGACATCGTCTTTCAGGCATCACCTGTAATTCATTTGTGTATAAATGATGTTCATTTGTCCTTATTTATTGTCAGCATGAAGTATTGACAGTAATTCTTGAAGACATGCTTACCAGTTTCAGTCTGCAATGCTGACTAGGGTTAAGACTTTTCTGTTTGGCTTTGAACACGAGGACTGACAAGTCAGCGAAGTGTAACAAACAACATTAGTAGTTATGGTTAATCATACACATCATTTTTAGATAAATTTCCGAATTTGGATATTTAGATTATATAACCCTTACCTTTTTTTTTTTTGAGTATACTTCAATACCATATATAGTTACATGTCCCATGCACCACATGATTTGTGTTTACATTTCATCCATAAAACTTGCTTTGATTAGGAACCCCAGTGTCAGTATCTCGGCTCGCTACTCTCCAGCTGCCAATAGACTGACCATGGAGACCTCCACCCTCCACAACAGTGTCCACTCCAATTCCTCCTCCTCCTCTAGTCCAATGGCAGTTCCCAACAGTCTCCGCAAAGTGGACACCACCAGATCCACCTCTCCAGGATGTGGAAGGTACATTTAGTTGTGGAGAAATTGTTGATCTATTACACTTTATGTTTCCAATACCAAATTAATAGCATATCATAGATTACTCTTAAGTTTTATTTTCTTTGCATTAGACTAATGAGAATATGCATGATTTATAGCTGGCAGGTGGTGTCTAGTTGTGGCAGCCTTAGGGGTTTGGTGTCTTCCCATGATTCACCACATTCAGTAGGATCCAGTGGCAGTTCAGGAAGGCTCAGCTCGTATGTTATTTTTTATCTCAATCTGTCCATTTAAAATAGATTTTTAAGGAAGTTTTCTATCTCTTCTATATGTCTAAAATATTTTTGCAGTTGCCAAGAAGCCATAGAATATGTGGAAACTACAAGACATAAAAAACTTGATGCAGTGCGAAGGATCTTCCATAATGCTTATGTGAATAAAATAGCTGCAAAATCTGGAGGAGCAGGAGGTATTGTTAATTTTCTGGACCAGTTTGCTGAGAAAGTGGGAATAAGAACTGGCAGGACTACTGTTGTGTAGTACAGTGCTGTGTTGTCAGGACAATTGTTGTGTAGCACAGTGCTGTGTTGGCAGGATGTGTAACACAGTGATGTGTTGGCAGGACTACTGTTGTGGAGCACAGTGCTGTGAAGCATTGTTGTTAAGCACTGTGCTGTGTAGGCAGAACTACTGTAGTGAAGCACAGTGCTGTGTTGGCAGGACTACTGTTGTTAAGCACAGTGCTGTGTTGACAGGATTAGTTTATGTAGCACAATACTCTCTAAAGCAGGACAACTTTATTTTTTGTAGCCTAGTGCTCTGTTTGCAGGACTACTGTTGTTTAGCACTGTGCTGTGTTGACAGGACTACTGTTGTTTAGCACTGTGCTGTGTTGACAGGACTACTTCATTGTAGCAAAATGCCCTGTTGACAGGACTTCTTTATTCAAACACAATGCTCTATTGATAGGACTACTTTATTGTAGCACAGACTTTGCTGTGTTCTGCAGGGCCTTTTAGACTTAAAGTCAAGGATTAGAGTAGCAGACTGTAAGCCAGTTTTAAATATTTTTTTGAACCAGTGAGAGACTGAGAATGGATGTAACATGTGATAATTTTATGTGATATCATTTTATGTCTTTAAAATTTCATGACTTTAACATTGCGTTTTATGACTGGATGTTATATAGATTTTATTTTCTTGAATGTATGTTTAAATGAAAATGTGGCATATGTTTTGATGATATGAAAATACATTTTATTGTTAATGCATAATATTTGTGTGTCTGTCAGTGATAGACATTTTATTATTTCTAAAAAGAAAGGACATAGTTACTATAAAAAGCACCTGCAACAAAGTATGTAGGTAAGGTATGTTCATTAGCAGAGACCTGAAAAGATCTTTTGTGCAAATCCTTAACATGGTACAAAAGATCTATATATCTTGAAAGCGAAAAAAACAAGATGTCTGTGCGAAACAGTGATGCCCCTGTATGGCAACTTATAGTGAAGGTTAAATGTTCTCAAACGCAAATCAAATATGTTGGTACCGAAAGTAAGTCTTGTCTTGAGGAATATACCTGTGAAATATGAAAGCCCTAGCAGTAATCATTAAAAAGATATGGAAAAGGTTAAAGTTTTTCAAAAGTAAGTCAAACATCAAGGTCAAATGGTCAAAATTAATGGTGCCCAAGGAAAGGCTTTCTCACAAGAAATACACATGTGAAGTATAAAAGCCCTAGCGCTAACTGTTCCAAAGTTATGCCCAAGGTTAATGTTTTCCAAAAGTAGGTCAAGGTTAGTGGTCTATAAGGAAGGTCTGGTCACAAAGATTACATATTTGAAGTATGAAAGTCATAGCACTACTGTTCAAAAGTTATGGCGAGGGTTAAAGTTTTCCAAAAGGAGGTCAAACTCCTAGATCAAATAGTCAAAATTGTTGGTATCATAAGGAAGGTCTTGTTACAAGGAATACACCTGTGAAGTATGAAATCCCTAGCACCAACTGTTCAGAAGTTATGCCAATGCCAAGGTTAAAATTTTGCAAGGTCAATGGGCTATAATTGTTGGTATCCAAAGGAAGGTCTTGGCACAAGGATTACGTGTGTGAAGTATGAAAGCCCTAGCACCAACTGTACAAAAGTTATGGCTGAAGTTTTTCAAAAATAGGTCAAACTCCAAGGTCAAAGGGTCAAAGTTGTTGGTATTGTAAGGAAGGTCTTGTTACAAGGAATACACCTGTGAAGTATGAAAGCCCAAGCACCAACTGTTCAAAAGTTATGACCAAGGTTATAGATGTGTAAAATTTTGCAAAACTGGGTCAAACTCCAAGGTCAAAAGTTCAAATATGATTGTACCCAAAGAAAGATCTTGTCACAAGGAATAAACATGTAAAATATGAAAGCCATAGCTCCGTAGATTTTGCGGACAGACAGACGGACGAACAGGGCAAAACAATACGCCCCCGAATCTTCGATTACGGAGACATAAAAATCATGATACTTTCATACAATGTGTTGATATACCCTAAATCGAATTAAGATTATAAACAAATCCGCAGTAGCTGTCAGAAGTCAAAGAGAACAAGATTTTGAGTTTGTCATAATTACAAGTAAGGGTTATATCAATCAATAAGCCTTTAAGACTTTGCCGTTTTCCAATCCTTCTTGAATTTATTCAATAAAATTTGTTTAAACTACTCATTAAAGTATCAGACAGAAATGCTGTCTTTAAAATTAAAATTTTTCTTGTCATTGTTTGTTTTGGTTTTGGTTTTCTTACTCTTTTTATCAGAAAATTTGTACAAGAGCCTAACAATTAATATTAAAATGCTAGAAAAATTGATCTCGGTTATTCAAGATGTTTTATAACTACATTCTAATCGATGTTTACATAAGAACAACTAAAGCTTAAATAGGCGCCCAAGACTTGCTCTTGTCTCCGTAAATCGATAAAAGGGTCAACAGCGTTCTCTTATAGGCAATCCTTACATCCTTACGTAATTGTTTTCTCTATTTTAAGAATTGCTAAATGTATACTGGACATTTATTGAGAACTTGGCGTAAATTTTTTTATCATTTTATGTACAACGATAAGGAAAATTCGTGAAAATATTGTCCAGCTCATAAATACCAAATAACTACACAGCAAAATGTGGCATGTATAGATCACATTCATTAAACGGTGTGAAACGTATGTGACCTCACGTACGTTTTACGTGATTTAAGTATACGTCAGACGTACGTTTTAATACACGCGCGACACAGACATTGTTTTTAATTTGCCTCCACCCAATAAATTTAAAATTTAGAATATGAGACTTGGTAAAAGGGAGAAAAGTTGATTAAAATAAAAGTAGATCATTTTCTATTTTTTCTTTATTTTTTCTTAATTATTCTTTATTTTTCTTTATTTTCCAGGAACAGATGTCACCCCCCAGATGTCACCCCCCCCCCTTCCCGTGGCCCGCGTGGCGCAGAGTTAGAGCGTTCGCTCTAGAGCCGCGGAGTAAGGAGTTGATCTTTACGTCGCGGGTTCGAATCTCACTGTGGGACGTGGAGACAGGTCCTTCGGATGAGACCGTATAAACCAAGGTCCCGTGTCGCAGAAGGTGCTGGCACGAAAAAGATCCCTCACTGCTCAATGGCCCTGAGTGCCGAGTAAAGGTCAAAATTTGCATCTCCACCGGCAAGTGGTGGCGTCTCCATATGAGTGAAAAATTCTCGAGAGGGACGTTAAACACTAAACAAACAAACAAACAAAAACACCCCCCTTCCCACAAATCCCTGTCCGTCATTTATGCCATTGCTTGGATGATGTAACCTTTAGTCAGACAGAGCGTGAAAATAGCAAATGCGATCGATTATTCGATTATGTGTTTTAAGCGAAGGTTGCATCAAGGTTGTATCAAGCATCATAGATATACCTTCTTCATGTCGTTGAATCCATTCCAATCAAGAATTGAAGAGATACGGCTTGGGGTTTTATTCTGTAACAGAAAGAACACATAAAGACAGACAACTTAACAGACAGACAACCATGTAAAATATCTTCTCTCTATTGGGGGGGGGGGGGATGAAGATGTAACACTTATCCAGCTGAAATTATATTAGAAACATAGAAATGAAATATATCTACAAAAATATCTCGATAAAAATTATTCTACTGTGATCAATATTGTACATAAGCATTATGATACATTGTAAACTGACGTTTTTTTCAAACTTCAAAGCATACTATGTAGGGCAAAGGACTTGATCTCAAGGTCATATGAAAGTTGAAATGCGGAAGTGAGCCACACAAGTGTCCTTGATTTGAGTTACATGGCGATGTGTATAGTAGATTTAACAAGAGATTATGAACCACAGAAACATTAAATTGCCATTGTTTGATCATCATCAGACTATATATATATATATATATATATATATATATATATATATATATGACATTTCAAATTCCAAGATTATCTATTATTCGTTGATCAGTATGTACTTTGCAATGCCGAAATTCAAATGAGATTATTTTAATCTTGGAATTATATGGATATTCATATCGGGATCATTAGGCTATAAGGTTTAGTTGAGCCCTTAAAAGCGTGCTCGTCCAAAAAAAAAAAAAGAAAAAAAACACCACTTTTCAAAGCAAATCTTTTTTTCCTTAAATGTTTTGCTCCTATGTAACTCTGATAAATTAGCTAAATAAAAAAGTTAAAGGAAAACTTTCAGGAAACTATACAGAACGTAATGGTGAAATATATGGAGATAACCAACAGTATTCAAGCTCAAAAGTCCATTAAACAATACAGATTTTGGAACAGAGCAAACACGGACCTCTTAAACATCAGAGGTGGGATCAGGTGCCATAGAGGAATGAGCATCCCCTGCCGACCGGTCACACCCGCCATGTGACCGTTCACGGTAGCTCAGTCGGTAGAGCGCTCGCTCTGTGATCGGGAGGTCGTGAGTTCGAATCTCGGCCGCGACAGACCTTAGTCGATAAAAAATAGGTAGCAACTGTTTCCAATCACGGAGCGAGCGCTCTACCGACTGAGCTACCGTGAAGAATGGAAATAACCATTATTAATTGACAATACGATTATGAACAAATTTTGCTTCATATGAATACAAAAATAGGTCTGTTAATAACGGGGCGCAATTGGTATCCATGAGAATTCCAATAGATTGTTTGAGGACCTTGTCTCCAAAAATCACATAGATATTGTCAATCAGAAACTCAAGCATCTTTTTAATATCAACTTCAGAGTACTTGTGTGTACAGTTAGAATGCTTTATAACAAAATAATTTTGCAAATGACCAATGACAAGGTAAGTAAATTTACGAGTTCCAATTTGTATTGAAAAAGCAGCTGTCAATGATATATATTTATATATATATATATATATATATATATATATATATATATATATATATATATATATATATGTATATATATATATATATATATATATATATATATATATATATATATATATATATATATATATATAAGCCTGAACTTTAATTTATCATGGGGAATGGTTGTATATAAAGTTGAAAAGTCGTAAGTTTTTATGTTGTTGATTTTGGTAAAATTTTGTGATTTCAAATTTACTAGAAGTTCCTTAGAATTTTTAAGTATCCACATCTGATTTACACCACTTCTCGAATATATTGTTGCACAGTACTCCTGAAGTTTCTCCTTCACTAATGTTAATATTTTAGTGAGGAGTAAAGAAAGAGACTTGGTAGAACATTTACTGGAACCCGCTATGTGTCTTTGTTTGTAAGAATTTTTATGAAGTTTCGGAATCCAATATAGATATTGTAATTCAAATTTATGTTAGTTGTTGGTCTCATCCGTGTTTGAACTGACCACATGAATTTGTCTACCCCTGTGGTTTAAAGTTTAAACTTGACAAAGCATAAATTAAATGTATGAGATGTTCTGTATTCGATGAAGAACACCAAATTTGTGTTTTCAGTATTACTGCAGATGCACAAATGGAGAAAAAAAAATTATGTAACCAAAGTTTTTAGCATGGTATTGCAACTTAATCTTCAAACAAATGCTTTTGTTCATTTATTTACAGTTCAATTCATCAGAGAAAATGAATTGCAAAAGGTATAGTTATTTGTTAATCATGTATTGTTCGTGATCATTTTGGTACACATTTCAAGTAGTCTATAAACTAGACCATTTTTCTAAGGATCGATTTTATTATTTGTACAGCCTAATTCTCATTGTCTTTTAACTTCATTGGAAGTAATAGTGA